AATGTATTTTCAATAGGTACTTACCTCCTTTCACACTTCTCAATCTTCCTCCCCACTGAAAATCAGTGCTTCCAGTTCTGCCAAAACTCGGAATGATAATCTGGTAGAATAGAATAGGAGTCACATGCATGACAAGAGTGTGTGGTATTCTCATTGGTGGAGGATTTTCACATGATCATTTGCATGAGACACATTGGAATGATTCAATTCCAATGGAAGGGGAGGCAGAAGGCTTGTGGCATGCATAAAATAATTTTTTGTGTATAGAGGGCAGCACTGAACGAGAATAACTATTTATGTGAGGTACCTATCAGAAATACATTTTCAGTACAAGAAAATTATAACTTTAATTAGCTAGTTACTTTTGTGACATTAATTGATTTAATTGTAATTTCAATTACTAAATAGTTTGCTCCTGGAGAAAACTCAAGTGATTCATTGTAATTTGATGTGGCTGATTTGAAAAATGTTGTCAAAATTTCTCCATCACTTGTAGATTTTGAGTTATTGTAATATCTCAATATATCATTAGCACTGTGTGCAAGGCCAATCAGAGGAGAGGGCCATTTGGCCTAGGCCTCAAGCTCAAAATGAGCCTTAAATTTAGACACTTGTTAATTTTTTTTTGGCATTTGATTAGTTTTTAGACTTATTTTTATGTGTCTCCCTTCAAATTATATTTCACTCTTTTTTTTGAGCTAATAATGTTCTTATTTTGTTTTCATGTGTCATTATTTTTAATTTTTATAATGGTTAGGGGCCTCAATAGCTGCAAGTGGCTAGGCCTTTCTGAACGTTTCAGAGAGCCCGACTGTGTGAAATACCATGCAATCAACTCAGTACAATATATTTATGCTGTGAAATTAAGATTACTTGGACAGTTTAATGGGTAAAAGGCAAACATTTTTTATAACTTCAAACATTGACTGTATTGGTGTGAAATTCCAAATATATTTTCCATATGTGCTACTTGTTCTCAATATAATTGTAGCAACTTGCACTCACTTTTGCCTCATTTCCATGATCACCTGCTCTACCCAGGATTTACGAAATTCCCACGTGTTCAGTTTTCTAGAATATTTGAGATATCCCTTGACTGAGCATAAAAGGGGTAGAGTCAGATGCTTCTCTATCTGTTGCCTCTCGCTCATTCAGTTGGTCACTTTGCCTAGCTCCACACACAGTAAAAACAAAAGTGATATAATCAAATTCTTCAAAACTTTGTTTTTTTTTAATTTTAAACCCAAGTTCTGTATACATAAATTTTTGGTTTGAACTGTTTCAAAGATCATACATATTAAAATATGTAATAAAACAATTGTAAGTAGTTGGATTCTACAAACATTGCCAAAGTTTTCCATTTAGGAACAAACTTGGTGTTTTGGTGACAACTGACACTATTGCCTTGGTAAAGTTTGACCCCTGAAAATAACAGACAACATTTTGATATCAAGAAGATTGTACATGTAATTGCATTAACCTGTTTGTACAATAATATGAATTCAAAAGATTGTGCATCATTAGACTGATTGAAGACAGCTAGGTCATTTGGAGAGCTAACACTGATATTGAAGTATAGTTAAAAATATATGCATATTTTTTGTAAATTGGACTGATATGAAAAACTTCTTTTTGAGAGGAAATAATATTATTATTGCCTTCAGACAGTGGCGTAGCAAGAGGGGGCAGTTGCCCCCCAGTGCAAGTGTGAAGGGACCCAAAATTTCCTTTGGCCTATAATGCCTATTAATCAATAATTATGCCCTCCCTTAGGATATAGCGCAACTGCCCTATGTTAAGTAAATGCGACACAGTGTTACGTTATTTGTGTGTATTACGCTTGCAGTTTTAACTTTTAAAAGCCACCCACTGAAATACAGTGTGACCGAATTGATGTACAGAAGTAAATTACACTATTCCAATATTCATCTGTAGATCAAATACAAGTCCTAGAGTACAACATACAAGTAAGTGTATGTTCAACAGAAAGAAAATTCAAGTTTGATGTAACATATTAACTGGTGTGCAAGATTGGCAATATATGCAACAGGCAAGATCTAGATCTAGTAAACGTTATAGGCCTAATGTAGTGGTTTGTAATTGTATTGGCTGGTTGTAAATCATGTCTACACCAACTAATGTACTAGACTTTGGTCTAATTGCAGTTATAACTTTATTTCTAGACCCTAGGTCCATCATCATACAAATTGTAGCCTATATTATAGGCATACTTAGACCTTTACTAACTATTAAACTAGGCATTGCACTGGGACAGATCTAATGACTAAGTTAATAGATCTAGATGTAACATTTGTTCTAAAAGTTAGGTCTAATAAATCTA